TCAGCTGTGCGGGCGAGTCGCCTTGTGGAGAAAGATGGGTGGATGGCAGGATGGCACGACGGGACGCGTGGGAAGCCCACTCTCTGCAGTGCCGGACTGCGAGGAGAGGCGGGTTGGCCAAGCCCAGGGAACGCGGGCACCTCGCAGCTCAGAGGACGGGGAGGGCATGGAAGTGCCTCTGCAGGGCTGGCATCACCGGCTCCGAGGACAATGGGGGGAGAGCCAGAGCCCGCCGGCCCGGGAGAGAGGTTCAGGGTCGCGAGTTATCACCGAAGCACAGGTGAACCCACAGCGCGTTCCCTCAGCACCCACCAGGATGCTCAGACCAGACCAGAGGGGATCAGGCCAGACTGGAACTGGTTGCAAATTCCAGCAGGTCGGGAGAGTGGGCCCGGAGGTGAGGAAGGAGGTGAGAATGGGCGGGAGGGAGCAGGAGCCTGGAGGGACAGTGGCGGTTGGGGGGGGGGGGCGGGGCGGGCGGGAGACGCAGGTTCTCTGTGAGTAAGAGCAGGTGTAGCGGGGCAGGGGGGAGGCTGGCAGGGCTGGAGGTGACGACGGCGGTGAGAGCGCCCCCGTCTGGCAGGAGGGAGCACAGGCCGACCCCTGTGTGGGGAACAGCCCGGCCCTTCCTTATGAGGGTCAAGGCCAGCGACCTCACATCCAGAATCTTCCCTCGGAGGCAGGACAGCTGTTGCCTGGGCCTCCTCCTCCTCCCGGCCAGGGGCAAGTGTCCCTTCGCTGCGAGATTCCGTCCCGGCCTCACACGCGGGTGCAGCTGGGGGCGTGTGCTCCGGGCAGAGCGGTCAGCTCCTGTGGGTGGCTCAGACCGTTCTCAGGCAGCTGGTTCCTCCTAAGCCCAGGAGCACAGTCTCGGCACGCAGGGAGCAACAAGGGGCATGTGGGCAGTACTTGCTCACGTTTTAGAAATGTGCTGAGGGGGAGGAGAGAGAGGGGAGGCCTGCACCTCACGCTTGTTGCCTGGTGTGATCCCCGGCACCACGCAGGGTTGCCTGAGCCTGCTCAGAGAGAGCCCTGAGCACAGAGCCAGGAGTCATCCCTGAGCACAGAGCTGGGAGTCATCCCTGAGCACAGAGCTGGGAGTCATCCCTGAGCACAGAGCCAGGAGTGAGCCCTGAGCACAGAGCAGGGAGTCAGTCCTGAGCACAGAGCTGGGAGTCAAAGCCAGGAGTCAGCCCTGAGCACAGAGCTGGGGGTGAGCCCTGAGCACCCCTGGGTGTGGCCCAATACATCCCCCCATAAAAGTAAAGCTTTGATCCCACGAAGAATCAGAAATTAGGGATGGGGCCAGAGCGGTCCCCACTGTCCACCTGGGGGAGTGGACACTCCCGCCCTTCTCAGCACCTTTCCCCAAAATGCCTTTTCCACTTCTTGCGGTGTCCCAGACCTACAGAAAACCCCCCCGGTGTGGCTTGGGCACACATGCTGGTCAGGGTGGACAGCGTGTCCGGGGGCCGATCCCCTGTTCCTGTCCAGCCACCCCTGCCACACCCCCGACGGTAGCCGCTGCGGGTTCCCACACTGTGGGACGCGGGGAGCCGACCTCGGCCTCCACCAGGCTGTACCCCGGGGCCCGTCCCAGGCTGGTCCCCCCGCTCCACTGTGCCACCCCTGCCCTGATGTCCCACGATGTTTGGTCTCCCCTGGCCTGGAGAGCCTCCCCGTGGCCGCGCCCCTGCAGGGCCTCAGGACACAGTGACGTGCGTTTGGAGAGCAGCTGGTCCAGAAAAGACGCCGAGCTCCTCTCTCGCCTCTCTGCCCCGTCTGAGGCGCGTCTGGGCAGAGGCGCTGGGCGCACACGGCTGCCAAGGACGGGGCGGGCACGTGGGCCGTTTGATAAGCAGGAGGAGGGCAGAGTCTGAATGATATCGGTGCTCAGGGCGATCCGGGCAGGGGGCGACGCGGCCCTCCAACAACTCGGACATTTGAGCAGGCAAGGGTGCTGGGTCCGAAGGAACCTCTGGGGGCCGGAGCGATAGTACAGCGGGGAGGGCGTTTGCCTTGCATGCGGCCGACCCGGGTTCGATTCCCAGCATCCTATAGGGTCCCCTGAGCACCGCCAGGAGTAATTCCTGAGCACAGAGCCAGGATGTCCCCTGAGCATCACCGGGTGTGGCCCAAAAAGCAAAAGGAAAAAAAAAAGGAGCCTCTGAATCTTCGCAAGGCGGGTGGTCGCCCCCATCTGCCCTTCTGCCCGGCCTGGCCCAACAGAGCTGGTGGTGGAAGGCCTCACCCGGCCCCCCTGTCCTCAGGCTGTGTCCCCGAATTCCCCCCCACTACCAGGGGCCGGGTTGTGCCCAGGTGTGCCCCCCCACGGCTCCCTGTGGGCCCGCGAGGCTGTTTTAGACTGAAGCAACGGGCAGGCGTCTGGAAGCCAGCGCAGGGAGCCGCCCTCACCGTGGGCTGGGTGGGACGCTCCTGCCTGGCCCTTTGCTGCCGGTGCCCGGACGCAACGGAGGCGGGGGCTGCCCTCTTGCGGGCACTGTGCTCATTGCACCTCAGAGATCACTGCCCAAGAAGACTTGTGGGTCTCTGGTGGGTTTGCAGGCTCACATCTGCTCCTTCTCTTGGCGTTACTTCTTGGGTTGGGGGCTGGGGCGGGGGCACACCCGGAAGTGCCCAGGGAACCCTGTGGAGCCAGGGCCTCCCCACGTGCTCCCACAGGCGAATCCTGTGCTCCCACCCTTCGAGTCATCTCTGGGGCTCCTTATCTGTTCATCTTCAGTGAAGAGTGTCTTAAGACGGGCAGAGAGACGGCACAGTGTGTAGGATGCTGGCTGTGCATGCGGTTGACTTGGGTTCGATCCCTGGCAACACTTAAGGTCCCTCAAGACTTGGCAGAAGTGAGCCCTGAGCACAGAACCAGGAGTGAGTCCCAAGCTACAGAGTTGGGAATGGGCCCTGAGTACAGAGCCGGGAGTCAGCCCTGAGCACTGAGTCAGGAGTGAGTCCCAAGCTACAGAGTTGAGAGTGAGCCCTGAGCACAGAGCCAGGAACGATTCCTGAGCACAGAGTCAGGAGTGATCCCTGAACACAGAGCCAGGAGTCAGCCAGGAGCATTGCTGGGTCTGGCTCAGAAAAAAAAAAAAAAAAAAAAGGAATCAAGAATTGTGGTGTGGTGTTCAGCAGGGTGCAGGCCTTGCACGTCCAGGGTCGTGCTTCTGTCTCTGCTGCCCCAGCCCCTCGTTTTTAATCGCAGCAAACCACATAACAGGAACGTATCATGGGCACCTGAGTTAGGGTTGGGGTTTGGCCGGTCCACCAGAATCCAGAATTTTCCTCCTGTCAAATGTGTCATCTGTCCCTTGAGCAGAAGATCCGCTCCCCTCCCTTGGAGTCACCCTTCCCCTGGGCGGCTATAAATGTGGTCTGTCTCTGGGCACTGCCAGGCGCTCCCCAACAGCCGTGGGTCACTTTCCCTTTAAAGTATTGGAAACTTCCCTTGTAAAAAAATTTTTTTTTTTTAAATTTTGGTTTTGGGTCACACCAGACTGTGCTTAGGACTTAACTCCTTTTTGTTTGATTTTGGGTCACACCCGGTGACACCCAGGGCTGACCCCTGGCTCTATGCTCAGAGACCACCCTGGCCGGGCTCAGGGGCCCCTCTAGGGTGCTGGGGGTGGAACCCAGGTCAGCCCCGTGCCCGGCAAACACTTTTTCCACTATACTATCACCCGGTTCCAGAACTTTCCCTGTATGGCAGGCTCCGGGTGGGCAGATCTCTGGGCTCCAAGGTCAGCAATACTGCTGGGAAGGACCTGAATAGCTGAGGGCTGCTCCCTCTGTGGGGTGGGCGCCCAGCTGCTGGGGGCACCCCCGAGCTCGACCCCCAGTTTCCCACACCCTCCCCGGCCGTGTCAAACACAGAGATGACAGTGACTTGCTTTTATTGAGTTTTGCAAAACATCTTCAACATCATTCTTCATACAAACCTCTGCGAACAACAAGCAGAATAGGAAACGGTCACAGACACCCGAAGGCCCACTGCCCACACCGGGGCCCACCGCGGACTTTACGCCTTGGTTTGTGGGCATAAACATAACATAGTGCTTCTCTTTGGGAAAGTTCCAGGCTCCCCTGGAACGCTGGGGATCCTTCTAACCACGGGTCAGCATTCAGGGTTCGAGTTGGGGACTCTTCCGTACTGTGTGTGGTCGTCAGACCACGGCGAGGGATCCTTTCAATAGCTTCGTCATTTGATGGGTCAATGATGTCTCAAGGAAATGGGGGGAAATCTGATTTTTTTGATTTCTAGTGCTTCTTAAACACGGGGAAGTGAGGGCGGGCTCACTTTGAGTCCAGGCGGCAAGTTCATTTTAAGAACTGGCGGGAGATTGATTTCACAGAGACTTGGAGACAGAGCAGGAAACAGCTCTGAATGGCCAACGGGAAAATCACCAGGAATTACAGGCTTTTTAAAAAGGACCAATTTCTTATAAGCTTTATCAGGTTTTTATGTTGCTGTTCAACTCTGCCAATTAATTAAAACATAAATAATCCACATCGTGCTGGAGAGACAGGCTGGGGACGCTCTGAGAGAGGGTCTCAGAACCCGTCATCGGGCAGGGAGGAAGGGCCCCGGGGCCTTGGTACCAGGGGCAAAGAGAGACTCGGTTGCCGGGGCTCGTTTCAACGGTCACGTGCGGAAACAGGACCGTCTTCTGGGCTAATTCAAAGTGTCAGGGTCCTTCTAAACATCACGGAAAATTCATTTGCGGATGAGGAGACAGGATTCGTCTTTGAGGTATAAAATCCTGAGTATCGGGGCTGGGAACAAGTTTCCCGGCCGGGGCCAAGGCTGAGCCCCCTGGCGTCTGCAGCAGCATCCGTGTGTCCCCCCCCCCCGCCCCCCACCGTGGGCAGGGAGCGAGCGTGTGAAGGAGCCTTTGAGGGCTCAGCCCTGCTATGGGTGGTGGGGGGTGGGGTGGGGGAGAACGGGGTAGAAACAGCCAAACCACCAAACTCGGAGACGCCGGCGGCTGTCACTGCTCCGTGGCGCACAGCATCTGGGCACAGGTGCCCTCCTCCGCCGGGGCCATGGGGGTGGCCCCTGGCCCCCCCGGGCCCGGCTTGCCCTGTGTGTCATCGGTGGCCTCCAGGGCAGCAGCGGCTTGGGGGAAAGGCGGTGGTCAGCGGGTGGCCCCCGGGGAGGACCCAGGGAGGCTGGACTCTGGCATGGAGCCCAGGGATGCGGGACCCCCAGTGCTGGGGGAGGCAGGAGGAGCCCCAGGGTTTGGAGGGAGCACGGGGAGAGACCCCCGGGGGCCTGGGCTGTGTACTGGCCTCACTCCAGCCGCTGCTACTTTCCCGCGATAGTCCTGGGTGGTGGGGGGTCACCCCCACCCCCCTCAGCGCCCCGGGAAACACCGGCAGGTGGCCCCGCTCCCCCGAAACGCTCACCGTGGGCCCCCTCTGCGCCTCCGGGCTCGGCCGCCTTTCTCTTCCGCGTCTTCCTCCCCTTCCCCTTCTCCCCTAGGCACTGCTCCGCGTGCTTCTGCAGGTTGTTCTGGGGGCACACGGCACAGGGTGGTCAGCACCGTGGGGGGCAAGTGAGGAGGACTCAGAGGGTCCAGTGCATCCCATCCATGCCCCTCAGTGACCCGGGCAGCCCCCAGGTGGGGCCCGAGCAGTGCCCCCCACGGGCAGGAGCACAGAAGCGACCCCCACCTGAGACCCTGGACACAGCTGGGAAGACCCCCACCCCATCACCAAAAAGTAAAGCCAAACAATGCAGGCGAGGGTCCCTCTGGGGTCCTGAAGGAACACCCTCCCCCCCCACCCGTTTGCCTGGTCTCCCTCTGGGACACAGCTGGCGGCGCTCAGAGCGCCCCCTGGTGGTGCTCTGGAGTTAGGGCAGGCGGCTGCTGGGGGCCCCCAAGGTGCCCCTTTAAGGGACTCTTCCTGCAGGGACGGGGCTGTCCTGTCCCAAACTGGCCAAGAGAGCCATCTGTCACTCCAGGAGTCACTGCGAGGGCCACTCCTTCCAGAACGCTTCCTTCCGGCCTCTGATGCGAAGCAGATAAGCATCAGGTCAGGGGCACAGGTGGGGGGAACCGCCCTAGAGCAAGGACGGGCTGGACACCCCCACGCCCCCGGGACTCTCAGCAGCACCTGGCAGGGCTCAGGGGACCCTACGGGGCCGGGGACTGAGCGGGACCAGCCCCACCCGGGTCAAGGCGAGCGCCCCACCCCGCGCTCTCCCCCCCCACCCCGGGGGTCTCACAGCTCGATTCTCAAGAGCCGCTGGGGGTGGGGAGGGGAGACACTGGCTGCCTCACGTGGCCGGGTCGCAAGGACACGGGAGCAGCCCAGGGAGAGGCCCACAGCCCGGAAGGGAGGCTTCTGCCCACCTGTCGGCACCGCCCGGCCACTGCCTCGAGGGACCCAAGCAGAATCCCCCAAGGTCACCGCCCCCACAGAAAGCCGTAGGTGGAGCATTAGTGGCCTCCGTTGCTAGCAGCTCCCAGTGCAGCAGGGTCAGACCCCAGGAAGAGACACGGGCCAGGATGTATGCGCCTGCGTGCACACACACACACACACACACACACACACACGCACACACACGCACACACGCACACACACACACGCGCGCACACACACACATGCAGACTCAGAGTACACATACACGTGCACACAGACACACACACATGCAGATTCAGAGTATACACACATGCAGCTCAGCGCGCACACTCGCATGTACACACACGCACACAAACACACACATGCAGACTCAGAGTGCATACACACATGCACACAGACAGACATGCAGATTCAGAGTACACACACACACACACACACACACACACATGCATGCATACATGCAGACTCAGTGCACGCACATGTCCACAGACACACAGACTCACAAAGACCCACATCCAGATGCACTCACAAATACCGACACACGCACGCAGATTCTTCACACCGAACTATGAAACCCTTGGAGAACGGTCCATAGTCCTGAATGCTCGTTCCCGGGCCCGCACACTCGGCGCGGGGGAAGCCTCTGGCGGGCGCACCCGGCGGGAGAAGCTCCTGGCGCAGCTCGGACACTGGAAGGCGCCGGGGGGGCCCCTGGCCTCGTGGTGCTTCCGGTGGTGCCGCGTGAGCAGCGTCTTCCGCTGGAAAGTCTTGCCGCAGACGGCGCAGGCGAACGGCCTCTCTCCGGTGTGGGTGCGCGTGTGCATGACCAGGTAGCGCTCCTGGGGCGGGAGAGAAGGGGGCGTCGCGGAGGGACCCTCGGCCCACCCGGAGACGAGCCTCCCGGGACGGACGGCCCCTGCCCGTGCCCGCCACGCCGTCCAGGGAGCTCCGCACCGGCCACTTGAGGGGCGGGCGGGTGGACACTGAGAAGAGTGCGGGGGGAGGTTGGTCCTTTCCCACCCTGTCCAGAGTCCCCCACGCTTAGAAACCGGCTCTGGGGGCTGGAGTGAGAGCACAGCGGGGAGGGCGTTTGCCTTGCACGTGGCCGACCCGGGTTCGATTCCCAGCATCCCATAGGGTCCCCTGAGCACTGTCAAGAGTAATTCCTGAGTGCGTGAGCCAGGAGTGATCCCTGAGCATCGCCGGGTGGGACCCAAAAAGCAAAAAAAAAAAAAAGAAAAAGAAAAAAAGAAAAAAGAAACTGGCCCTGGCGGGGGGTGGGCGCACTGAAGCAGCAAAGCCCTTTTCCTCCTTCCGAGGGCAGGGGACACGTCATGCCGGAGAAGCCCCCAGGACGGGCAAAGACCCAGCAAGCCAAGAGCAAGAAGGGGCCACGAAGATCACGTGAGCGGCCACTCGAGGGTGGGGACAGGCCAGGAGAGCAGAGGGGACGCGTCCCCTCAGCAGCCCTGACGCTGGCCACAGTCGCCGCCCAGTGACCACCACCGGAGGCCCGTCTCCTGCCCCCGAGTGCTCTCTCCTGCCCCGTGCCCCTGAGGGGGTCCCTGATCTCCCTGCTGAGGACCAGACGCCAGCCCCCACCTCTGGGTTTGCACCTTCTGGAAACATCTGGGGTTTCCTGGCTCGGGACCCCCGTCTGCACCGCCCTCTGCATCTCTCCTGCTTCCCACATCTGAGTCTGGGGGTGCGGAAGATTCTGACCATCATTTTTATTGATTTAATTCAACTCAATTATTTTTTGCTTTTTGGGACACACCCGGCGATGCTCAGGGGTTCCTCCTGGCTCTGCACTCAGGAATCACTCCTGGCGGTGCTCGGGGGACCCTGTGGGATGCCGGGGATCGAACCTGGGTCGGCTGCGGGCCAGGCAAACGCCCTCCCCGCTGTGCTGTTGCTCTGGCCCCTCATTTTATTTTTGTCTTGGGTCACACCCGGACCCGGCCGTGCTCAGGAGTCACCCCCTGGCTCTGCTCTCAGGGATCAAGCCTGGTGATGCTCAGGGTACCAAATGGAGTGCTGGGACCAAACCTGGGCGGGCCGTGTGCAAGGCAAGCGCCCTCCCCGCTGTGCGACCGCTCCCGCCCGCCCCACCTTCACGAAGGGCTCTCAGGGTTTCCCTGGCTCGTCCCACAACGGTAGCCGCAGTGTAAAGTTCCCAACAGCAGGTGGCGCTGCCGCCTCGACAGAGCCCCAGAGCTGGGGTCCACTGCCGGTCACCGATGCGGTTCCTGAGGGCGCCAGGGGACACACCGCTGAGACCTATAGCCACTGACTTCGAAATCGGCGCCGAGAAAATGGGAAAAAATACCATGAAAATCACCTGACCACTTGAAAAGTAAAGGCACCAAGGGGCAAGAGAGGAGGGGGAGAGACAGAGAGAGAGAGGAAAGAAACAGAGACAACGAAAGAGACAGAGACACAAAGACAGAGACAGGAAAAAGAGACACACAGAGACAGATACACAGAGAGAGGGGGAAAGGCGAGGGAAAGGGAGAGAGGGAGGGAGAGGGAGAGAGAGACAGAGAGAAAGAGACAAAGGAGAGAAACAAAGAGACAGAAAGAGACAGTGAAAGAGACAGAGACACAAAAATAGAGATAGAAAAAAAGAGACACAGAGACAGAGACGGGGGGGGAGAGGGGTAGGGAGAGAGGGAGAGGGAGAGATGGTCTCTCGGCTCTGGCTTCGCACAAGGCTGACCCAGCTGGATCCAGCCCCACGAGGTCCCCAACAATGGGCCCTGAGCCCTGCCGGCCCCCAGACCCCCCAAAGAGCAACACGGGCACCAACGAGGCCGCGTCTCTGTCCACAGCTGATTTCAGACCGAACCCGCCAGCCGGTGGCCAGCAGGTGACGCGGATTTACACCTGGGCTGGCTGAAGCTTAGCTGAGTCCTGAGACCCCAACTCACTCACGGGCGCTGGCGCGGACCCTCCCGCCCTTCCTCCGTCTCTGGGGGCACGTGGACATCGAACAGCCAGTGCAAACGCCTCTGCGGTTACACGCTGGGGCGCGGCTGGGATCTGGGGCCGCGTCGGAGGCACCTTTGCACCCCGAGCTCCAGGCCGCTCGGAGGGGCAAGGGGCTCGTTGGAACCCGCGCCTTCCCTGTCCCCGGGCGCCTCCTTCTTGGCCCCTGGCCCCTCACTCTGGTCCCATCCTCACAGGACACAGAACTGTGGCTCGTGGCTCACTGCAGGCTGCCCACCCTGAAGCGCGCGGTTCAGAACTTTCCCCGACTCTCCTCTGTCCAGAATGTGGCCACCGGACCCTCCTCGGCCACCACTCCCCAGAGGCGCCAGGATGCCTCTGCCAGGCCCCGCCGTGACCTTGGGGTACAGACGGATAGGCCCCACCGGGCCCCCGCCCCAGCGGTGACCGTCAGGGTTTGGGCACGGACTTCCGAAGGGGCAGAGGGCCCCGGGCAGCCCTGTGGCCCGCGGCAAGAAAGCCCTGGAGCCACGCGTGGCCGACACTCCCGCCCCGGCCCCGCACCTGCGTGCAGGCGTAGCTGCAGTACTCGCACTTGAAGCGCTTCTCGTCCCGGTGCGTCTTCTGGTGCTGGAGGAGGGCGTAGCGCTCCCGGAAGGCGGCGGGGCAGAAGCGGCACTTCAGCTCGGTGGCCAGGGTCCGGTGCAGCTTCCGCAGGTGCACGCCTGGGGGACAGCGCCCAGCCTGAGCCCGTCCCACCCGGACACCAGGCCCTCCCGGGGACGCAGCCTCAGGGGCCGTCAGGGTGCCGGGGACCCACCTGCCGCAGGGCACGCCGCATGTGTGTATTTGTGTGTGTGTATGAGGGATGAGTGTTGGAGTGTGTATGATTTGATGTGTCTCAGTGTGCATGTGAGGTTTCGAGTTTGTGTAAATGCGTGTTTATGTGTGTATTTGAATGGGTGTGTTTGAGTGTAGGCATGTGTGTTTGAGTGAGTGTATGTGTGCAAATGTGTGTGTATGAGTGTGTGACGTATGTATGTGTGAATGAGGAGGTCTGTGAGTGTGGTTTAGTGTGTATGTGTGAATTGAGTGTGTATGTGTGAATGTGTGAGTGTGACTGTGTGATTGTGTGACTGAGACTGTGTGTGACTGTGTGTGACCATGTGTGTCTGAGTGCTCCTGTGTGACTGTGACCGTGTGACTGTGTGTGTGAGTGTGACTGAGACTGTGTGTGACTGTGTGAGTGTGACTGTGTGTGACTCTGTGTGTGTGTGTGTGCGCACACGCTCAGGCCCCTCTCCACTGCGCAGCTGTCTGCTCACTCACACCTCCAGGAGGGGTGGCACCTGGGTCTCCAGGCTGGCATCAAAGTGACTGTCCCCTCGAGCGCACCTCGTGTTTCAGGCCAACCTAAGCCAGAGGCCAGGAGCCGGGCTCGGGCGGTGAGACCCCCGAGCACGTGTGAGGCCCAGCTGGATTCCGGCCCCACAAGGAGACAGGCATAACCAGGCCCTCCTGCCACCAGCCCTGGGACTCGGGGGGGAGCACACGTCCTCTGAGTCCCCAGCTTGTCCCCTCGGAACAGGGTCCCGGACACAGGCTGGACCTCGGACCCCTGGCGGGACTAGGACATCCCTGGGACCGACAGCCACAGGGTCGCTGCACTTCCACACTCTGGCCACCAGATGGCGCCGCAGGACCGCGGAAGCAGCGGCGGGGCCGGGCAGGTCTTGGTCACTCACGCAAGTCGCTCTTCCGGGCGATCAGGGTGGCGCAGTGGGGACACTGGTGCTTGGAGACGTTGTCGCTGTGCTTCTGCACCAAGTGGATCTTCATGGTGCCCCGCTGCGTGAAGCGGGCCTGGCAGACGGGGCACTCGTAGGGCTTCTCGCCTGGAGCAGGGGCACACGTGGGTGACCTCGGGGGCACATGCTGGACACACACAGGTGGCCTCGGGGACATGGAGATGACCTCGGGGGGACACACAGGCCCGTCCACCGCCACCACCACTGTCCCCACAAGCCCCTGCCCACCAGGGTCCCAGGCTGGTGACCTCTGTTTCCCTCTCGGCCCGTCTCTGATGTTGCCCCCATGACTGTCCCGCTGCGGGTCCTGAGTCCTGTGGCCCAGAGGGGGTGCAGGGGGCGGCTACAGGGAGGCCTGCGGGTGTCCACGTGCGGGGTGGGGTGGGGGCCTGGAGCAGCCCTGCGTGGCGGGGGGGCTCAGATGCTGAAGCCGCGTGGGCCGGGCCGGCCCCTGGCGGGCGGCACCTACCCGAGTGTGTCCGCATGTGGCGCTTGAGTTTGTAGGTGTCCCTGCTGGCGTAGCTGCAGAGGCTGCACGGGAAGGGGCGCTCGCCCGTGTGGGAGCGCAGGTGCCGCTTCAGCTTGCTCGCCTGGGAGAGACGCCCCGGGGGTGGGGGGCTGCCAGCACTGCCCAGGCCGGGCTCGGCCCACCGGAGCCCCTGGCACCAGCGTGCGGGGGTTCCGAACCACCCACGCGACAAAGGGCAGCGGGGCCTGGTCCATGGCACCTCCCGTGACCCAGAGGCAGGACGGAGCCAAGACCCCCAGCGGGAGATGTTGCCCCCCACCCCGGCCCCAGCGCTCGGGGGCCCGGCGGCAGCGAGGCCCCGACATCCTGGGGTTTCAGCTTCTATGGTTTTGATGATTTACTAGAGGGTCCTGGGGGTCCACCCGGAGGCACTCAGGGGCCACCCCTGCCAGTGTTTGGGGGCTGAGCCCCGGGGGCCTGGGTCTGGCCAGGGAGCAGAGCGCCCCACCCCGGGGACAGCAGCCCTGAGCCGCGGTGACCGTCCCGCCGCCTGCCACCGGGTGGGGGCCTCAGCCCCCCACCCCCCGCCCCAGGAGGGGGGTCTCACCTCCACGCTCGCGTACTTGCACAGGGAGCACTTGAAGGGCTTCTCGTGCGTGTGCTTGTAGCGCTGGTGGCGGATGAGCTCGCCGCTGGTGACGAAGGCCATGGCGCAGTCCCCGCACTGGAAGGGCCTGGTCCCTGCAAGAGCCCCGCCGGGCCCAGAGCGGGTCACCCCCGCCCGCCCCGAGGCCTCGGAAACCAGGACGAGCGCGTCGGACCGAACAGGCCCGAGGGAAATCTCGGCCGGGCGCTTGAGGTTTCCCGCCCAAACCGAGGGACGAGAGAGAAACGCGGGTCCCGCCCCGCCCACCCGGCAGCCCACCCGTGTGCGTGTAGACGTGGTTCCGCAGCAGTGTCATGGTGCGGAACGCCTTGGGGCACAGGTGACACACGTGCGGCCTCTCGTCCGTGTGCGTCCTCACGTGGCGGCTGAAGCTGGACGCGCGCGACGTGGTGAAGACGCAGAACTCGCACTGGAAGGTTCTCCTCGCTCCTGGGGTGGGGGCGATGCGGGGTCGGGGGTCTGCAGGAAAACACTCAGGACAACCCACGGTGCCGCCTCCACGCCCGGCCCGGCCGTCAGACGGGGGAGGAAGCTTCCGCCGTCCCAGGTGCGGGTCCCGGAGGTGCCGGGATCCCCCCCAGCCTCCCCTCTGGGTAGGAAACTGCAGCTGCTCCCCTCTCTCCCCTGCTGGGGCACAGAGCTGCAGTCCCAAACTGCGTCCCCTGGTCTGCGGCTGGTCGGAACCAGCTGCGACGCCTCTGTCGGCGCGTCCCGGCAGCTCCGAGGGCCTGTCTCGTCCCGGCCTTCCCTGAACACTCATCCAGACGTGCCCGGGGCAGGGGGGTCCTGTGGCGGCTTGAGGCTCGGGTTTTTTTTTCTTTTTGGGTCACACCCAGCAATGCTCAGAGGTTCCTCCTGGCTTTGCACTCAGGCATTACTCCTGGTGGTGCTTGGGGGACCCTATGGGATGCCGGGGATCGAACCCGGGTCGGCCGCGTGCAAGGCAAACACCCTCCCCGCTGTGCTATCGCTCCGGCCCCCCGAGGCTCAGGTTGGTTAGGCCATCTCCGCTGACCTCCTCAAGGACGGAGACCCCGTGAAGCGTGCCTTCCAGAACACGCTCTTCCCCGGGGGTCCGAGAATGCCCAGCCAGGCGCTTTTGGAGAAGTTCACGACACCCAAGCGGGGGGCCAGAGCAGGAAGAGAGGGAGACGTGGGCCATGCGGGACCCATCCTCGCACAACTGCCACGTAAGGTGCCTGGGCTAAGGTCAGTTGTGGAGGCAAAGGCAAAGGCCCGGGGGGGGGGGGGCTGGACACCCAAGACACGGGCCCTGGGCACGGCTGGGCTCCAGGCAGAACCGAGGTCCAGCCTGAGCTCACGCGGCAGCCTGAGCACCCCGGGCCCAGGGGTCCCAGCGCTGGCTGTGTGGCCAGGAGGGGCACCAGACTCCTGAGCGTGAAACAAAATGGGGAGAATGAACTTCGGGGGACTCTGGGCGTTCAGGAAACGTCACGGGAGCAGGCAGGATTCAATGAAGACACAGGCCAGGCGGAGCCGGGGCAGGACCCGCGGGGAGTGTCACCCGGCTGCATCCTGGCCTGCTCCGGAGCTCGGGGGCGCTGACTCGTGGGGCAGGAAGGACAGGGGGCCTTGCCGGAGAGTCCCTGGGGGCTCCAGTGTCTCTCACCTGACTCAGGACCACTCCTGGCTGAGTGGCTCCCTATGGCCAGGAGGCTCCAGCCACAGATCTGAGAAATAATCCTGCCCAGAGGTGCCAGCAGGGCAGAGGGAAGGCCGGAAGCCGGCTGGGGAACTGGGTCTGGGCTCCCCTTGCCCCCTCTCCCGAGAGCAGTTGAGCCTCCGGGAGGGCAGAGTCAAGCCCGAGCTCACCTGGTCCTCCGGGGGTCTGGGGAGGGAGGCGGGGCCATCCTTGAGCTCCAAGTCCAGCCCCATAAGGCTTTCAGCTCCCCAGTGAAGACTGGGAGAACATTCTGGAAATGAGCAGAGGCTTCCACGGCCAGGCAGAGCCCAGGATACAGACTCGACAGCATGAGTTCAGAAAAGCCACCGGAAGCGTGAGCCAAGGACCAGGACCCCAGGGCGGGGGGAGAGTTTAACTGATACTACGTCTGTTGCCCTGTTTAGAAGACAGAGGAGGGCCCGGGATGACAGTGACAGCCAGGAAGGGCCACGCTGGACAAGAGCTGAGTGCTGACAGCAGGTGAAGGGACGCACCTGCCGACCTCTCAGCAACAAGACTGCAGACATTGACGTGCAGAAGGGGGGGGGGGGGAGGAAGGGAGAACAAAGGAAGGAGGACAGAGGAGAAAGAACAAGGAAGACGGAGAGAAGGATGGGGAGGAGGAGAGGGAGAGAGCGAAGAGGCAAGAGCCAAAAACAAATGAAGGGCCAAGCGACAGCACAGCGGGGAGGGCGTTTGCTTCGCACGCGGCCGACCTGAGTTCGATCGCCGGCATCCCATAAGGTCCCCCGAGCACCACCAGGAGTGAGTCCTGAGTGCAGGGCCAGGAGGAACCCCTGAGCATCGCTGGGTGTGACCCCCCAAAAGCAAAATAATAATAATAATAAGATAAAACAAAAAAATCATGGTCCATTTCAGGAGTTGGAGGCAACAGTTAACAAAAATTGTCTCTGAGAAGCCTCAGTCTTGGACGTGCTAGAGAAGGACCATGACCTGACAGTCTCTCTCTCTCTCTCTCACTCACACACAGAGTGGAAGAGGCAGGACTCACCCCAGGGCCCGCCCAGAAACCCCGGGGCTGAGACCGGGCAGCAGTGAGAGCTGCTGGGGAGAAAGGTTCGTGTGCTGAAGACGGCCACTGGAGAGTGTCCATCGGGAGACAGAAGGGAGAAGGCGGCGAGGGTCCGGGAAACTGCAGCTCCCCGAGCAGACGGGCAGGACGGCGGCAGAGTAACTCCAGCAAGGGCTGCTGGCCATGTCCGACTCTGGGTTGGCCACGTGACCCCGATTCCTCGAGGTGCTCAGAGCGCCTCGTCAATCAACTGAGTCACAGCGGGACAGAGACGCGACGCTGCGGGCTGTCCCCCCAGACAGAGCGCGAGACATTGGCAGCTGGACACGACCCAGCCTGGCGAGCAGCGTCGGTTCCTGTTTCATTTGCGACTCTCGCTCGTGTCCCGTCCGATTTAAGAGGCAGCCACGTGGGGCGCAAGGGCAGCTCGGCGCTGGTGCCACCCGCCAGGGTGTCGAGGCAGAGCGGCGGGGGGGGGGGGGGGGGTCTATCCCCGCCACGGAAACCCAGCACGCACGTGAGCTGGACCCTCCCACCGGGTGTGCGGATCGTAACGTCTCAGGCTCTCCGTGAAAATGACTCACCGAGAACGCGGGAAATGGCCAGGGGATAAAAACGGGACGCCAGATGGTGTTTGTTTGACACAAAAGCCAGTCGTGAGAGAAAAACTGAGAAACAAAACAGACAAAAGACCTACGGGGCGGGGGGGGGGGGGGGGAATGGGAAAAAAAAAAACCGGAGAAACGTGTCCTTGTGTGATCACCTCCGAAGTCAGGAGATGACGCTGCTAAGGCAGAGACCAGCAGAGGCCAGAGACCACGAGAGAACTCCGAGGAGAGACGCCGTGAACCCCGCCACGTGAACACGCAACGGGAAGAGGCTGTGCGCCGACTTAAGCCACGCGGGGTGAGGCGGTTACAGCCACACGATCGCCAAGGGCCCAGGCCACGGGTAAAACGCCCCACCCAGAGGGGCCTGAGCCCCGTGGAGACACAGCAAACATGACACACGTGCACCGAGGGACAGACCTCAAAGTACGTGAAGCAGACACGATGAAAGGGGCCGCGGAAACGGGGCGGACGACTGTCAAAGCACCGTCCCGCAGCCGTGGAAAGAGTGACCACATGCGTGCGCGGGACTCGGGTGCGGTCCCAAACGACACGTCAAGGGGTTGGCGTGATGGTCCATCGGGGAGGGCGTTTGCCCGCGCGCGGCCAGCCCGGGTTCATCCCCGGCATCCCATATGGTGAGCTCCGGCAGAAGTCACTCCTGAGCGCAGAGCCAGAAGGAAGCCCTGAGCAGCGCCCGGTGTGGCCCCCAAATCAAAAGAAAAAAAGTAAGGGGAAAAAAAGGCAGAAATCCTCCACGACGTGCTCTCGGAACACGACAGAGTGGAGAAACCACGGAGGAGGATGGGAAACGTCTCCAACGCGTCCAAGCGAACAGCACGCTCTGAGCGGGCTGACGGGGAAGAACAAAGCCCACAAACACAAAAGACTGTGAGAGGGACCGTGACCCGGCACGGCCCATCTCTGCAGGCGTCCGGTTCCGGCCCCCAGCACAGAGCCCGGGACAGCCCCCGAGCACGGCGGGGTGCAGCCCCCAAGCCAAAAGCAGACGAGGAGCAGCTGCGCGTCCCCAGGGACGAGGCATTTTTCGCTAGAACTAAAAAAAAAAAAAAAGCAAAACTCGGGCTGGGCGGTGGCTGGTGGCTGAGCCCCTGCAGGCCTGAGGCCTCAGACCCCACCGTCCTGTCTCCAGGGGAGGGTGCAGAGAAGCTGCACTGAGAAGGCGCTGCAGGAGGCAGCGACAGAGCCCGACGCCCACAGAGAGGGGAGGAGACACAATGGACGGGCCTCGGGTCTCCCTCCGGAGAGACCCACAGTGACACTGTGGGGCTGGGGTCCTCCTGCAGCCCACCCAGGCTCCCAGGATGCCCAGGCGGGGAGGACCCAGCGCTGGAGGTGCGGGGGTCCATGTGGGGTCCAGCAGGCAGAGGCGCCCGACTGGTCACGGCGTCCACGTCCTCCTTCCTGGCCTCACGGTGATGCCACCCCCGCCCCAGGCTCCCTGGACACCTCCACCACCCGCCCCGCCCTGGGTGCCGGCACCTGCCCAGGCCTTCGAGCCAGCTTCAACGGTGCAAGACCGGGAGGTAGAGGGGTTCAGGCCCCGAGAGGGGCCCCACCATGGGGGGGGGGCTGGCCAGGTTCAGCGACTCTCCCTGGCTGTGCTCAGCAGTGCCCCCTGGGGTGCTCGGGGGCACTACCTGGTGCCAGAGATGGAACTGAGGCCAGCCACACCAGGGCCAGTGCCTCGGAGGGCCAACCTGTGCTCTCTGGCTGTTGGTGACCACAGCCAGAAGCCCACCGGGCTCAGGGGCAGCGGCCAGTGGGTGCCGGAGCACGTGGGAGGCCCCTGAGTCTGGTCCCTCAAGAACAGGTGGAGTGTCCTAATGTCCCCAGGCCTGCCCGGCCCACTCATGGCTGGGAGTCGCCCCGAAACACAAACCGTGACCACCCGGAAGCTCCGGGACCATGAGAGGGGGCCACTGCCCGCCTTCTGCCCCTACCCTACACACCCCCTACTCCCCCACCCCGCACACCCCACTCGGCCTCCCCCTCCCCCCCTCCCCACCCCCTTACCCGCTGCCGCTGTCGACGCGCTGGCCGGCGGCGCGCTGCTGCCCACGGCTGGGGTGGGGCCGGCCGCTGCCCCGGGCGCACGCTGGGCCCCCTGCACGTCCACCTTCACGTTGCAGATGGTCAGCACGATCTCCTCGTTGCCTCCCTCCCCGGTGCGGGCCTCCAGGAGCAGCAGCTGCGCGTCGGCCAGCTGGGCCGGGCCGTCCACCCTCCCGAGCTGGAACCGGGTCGGGGTCAGCGCGGCCGGCGCGGGCCGGGGGCCTCGGGGACACGCGGCGGGCAGCTGCGGCCCCCACCTCCCCCGGCCAGGGCGGGCGTGGGCCGGGTCCGGCCTGGGGGCTTGGGGGGGGGTCGGCGCGCCGTCGGGGCCAGCCTCGGAGGTCCGGGGGGCCACCCCGGGCGGGGGTTCCTGGGCTCCCCGGGCGCCCCGCCCCCCCGCCCCCTACCTCGAGCACGGCGGCCAGGCTGCGGTCGGGGGGCGCGGCGGCCCCCGAGGGCTCCTCCAGCACGCGGAGCTGCAGCAGCTGCAGCGGCGCGGGGGGTCCCGCGGCCGGGGGCCCCTCGCCGTCCGCCGACGCGCTCAGCACCACCTCCTGCGCCACGTCGGGCACCTGCAGGCCGTCCTGCGCGCCCCCGCGGCGCTCGGGCTCCTTGATGTGCGTGAAGGGGGCGCCGGGGGCTGCCATGGCCAGCGGCCGGCCTGCGGGGACAGCGGCGCGGGGCTCGGACCGGGCCGGACCGGGCCGGGCTCCGGCTGCACGAGGCCCGCGGGCGCCCCGGGGCGGACGCGCGGGCACGCGGGAGGCCAGCGCCCGGCAGGCTGCAGCGGGGACCGTGCCTGGAAGATTCCAGAAAGGTCCCGGAACCCGCCGGCTCGCGCGGGGCCGCCTCCGGCCCCTGCACCGTCCAGGCCAGGCCGGGCGGGGGGCGCCGAGCGCGCTTTCCAGCCCGTGCACCCCTCGGCCCCGTCTGGCGTGCACCCCCTCGTGCACCCGCTCCCGGGGACCCCGAACGCTCGCCCTGCCCGCCCTGCGCCCCCCAGGCGGCCCCTCACCCGGAGGCGTCGCCCTGGCACCTGCCCGCCCCGCCCGGGGCTCGCCTCGTGCTGCAGCCGCTTCGGGCCAGACCGGGTGAGCGCGAGGGCTGGCGCGCAACACGCATGCGCAGGCTCGCAGGGCGGGGCTAAGGGCGGGCGGGGATTGGACGGGAGGGCGGGGCTAGTGGTGGGCGGAGATTGGGCGGGTGGGGACGGGAGGGGCGGGGCTAGTGGTGGGAGGAGGTGGGATGAGCGGAGCTGAGAGGGGAGGGGCTAAGGGTGGGCGGAGATTGGGCGGGAGGGGCAGGGCTAGTGGTGGGCGGAGATCGGACGGGTGGGGGCGGGAGGGGCGGGGCTAGTGGTGGGTGGTGGTGGGATGAGCGGAGCTGAGAGGGGCGGGGCTAAGGGTGGGCGGGGATTGGACGGGAGGGGTGGGGCTAGTGGCGAGAGGAGGTGGGATGGGTGGAGCTGAGAGGGGCGTGGCTAAGGGTGGGAGGAGATTGGACGGAGGTGGGGCTAGTGGTGGGAGGAGGTGGGATGAGCGGAGCTGAGAGGGGCGGGGCTAAGGGTGGGCGGAGATCGGATGGGCGGGGTGAGAAGGGCGGGGCCAGTGGAGGGCGGAGATGGGGTGGGCGGAGCCTCAGGGGGCGGAGCTAAGGGTGGGCAGGCCCGCCGTTCAGAGGGGCGGAGCCAAGCTAGGGCGGGGCAGAAGACTTGTGGGGGCCAGGAGGGAAAAGAGTGGCCTGCAGGGATGAGGGCTGGTGGGGATGGAAGGGGGCAGCCGGGACTTGGGGGTGGACACAGAGGGGCAGGGAGAGGGCACTGCAGGGAATGCGGGGCACGTAAGGGAGGCCTGCAGGGGTGCCGGAGGGAAGGGCCCGCCCAGGGTGCTGGGCAGCTGAGGCTGGGGTCTGGATAAAGGGGTGGGGGCCTGCACAGGGTGCTGGGACTCGGAGGGCGGCTTTCCAGAGCAGGGTGGGCTCAGGGATGAGCACCGCGGGGGGTGGGTGCCGGAGGATGAGGCGTGGGGCTGGGGGGTGAACTTGGAGGTGGGGAAGGGGGCCGGTGGGGGAGCTAGAACTCGGGTTGGCTAAACTGGGGGGCTCAGGGCGGGGATGGGACTTGGCAGTTGGATGAGGAGGGAGGTCCTGCAGGGAGCACTGGCCCTGGGTGGGGGGGGAGGGGGTGGTCTGGAGGGGAGGACAGGGAGGCTGGGAACTGGGAGAGGAGGGGGTGAGGGGTTCCTGCTGGGCAGTGGGGCCTGCGGGTGGCTAGGGGGGCCCTTGTGGATGTGGAAGGGAGAGTGGATGGAAGCGGGGCCTGAGGTCAGGATGCAGATGTGGGAGGGCCTGCAGGGGCGCTGAGACCCCCACACAGGTGTGGGCAGGCGTGAGATGTGGGACCTCTCTGCTCTTGGCTCAGGAAGACGCAGTAGCGTGTCCCCCCATTGGCCGGCAAGGGATCCACTGTCCACGCGCAGCACCCAAAAAACGTCCCGTTTTGCTTTCTTGGGGGGCATTGAAGGGAAATGTGGGACCCGCCACCCAGAGCAGAGCTCGCCCTGGGCCACTTGACTGAAATGTAACGGACACTCTAGATTGAGGGTTCAACAGACGAACAACATGAAGACGCAGACGACTGCGAGGACCAAGCTGGAGACTCCCAGGAAAGGCGGAAAGATGGGTGTGGGGGTGTGCGAGGGTCCTGAGGGGTTCCGAGACTTAGGGGGTGCTGGGATTTGGCCTGGGGTCCTGCAGGGAAGGTCGGGCCTCAGAAGGGACGAGAAGGGGGAGGGGAGAGGCCGAAAGGGGGCTCAGGGACTGGGGGTTTGAGGAGGGGAACGGAGAGCCCTAGGGGGTGCCGGGAATTCCCCTATGCTCCTTCCTAGAAACATTCTCGGGACTCGATTTCTCCTGATAGTGGTGGGTGGATGGACAGAGCAACGTCCTCTCCTACCTTCCACTCTCGCTCACCCCGGAGCTGCACTGAGCCCACTTGGACCCCACCTCCCCCCACCCCCGTGATACAGATTTGAAGCTTCCGGGAACACAGTGTGTTGTAATAAATTCTTTTTATTTATTTATTTATTTTTTGCTTTTTTTGGGTCACACCCGGCGATGCACAGGGGTTAGTCCTGGTTCATGCACTACTCAGGATCTCTGCTGGTGGTGCTCGGGGGACCCTATGGGATGCTGGGAATTGAACCTGGGTCGGCCGGGTGCAAGGCAAATGCCCTAACCGCTGTGCGATTGCTCCAGCCCCAATAAATTCTTTTCAGTCATTTAAATGAGTGTTTCTGCTCGAACAATCCCCCACCCCTCCCCACCGCTGAACGCTGGCCGAGACAACCTCACGCGGTCCCTTCAGCCTTCTGCTGCGGTTGGTTCTTCCAGGATTAATATTACAGACCCACGCCTGGAAATCTCAACAACTGGTCGGAAGCACCTTTAAAAGTGGCGGGGGGGACTGCAAAGTAGGTGGGGGAGAGCTGGGAATGGGTGGTCGTGAGGCGTGGGGGGGCGTCCAGGGGCTCAAGACCCCGTTACTCAGCGGGGGTGCAGACAGACAGTCCAGTTTGTTTTCTTTGCTCAGTGTCCGCTGAGGACCGATCTTGGGGACTCCCTCCCCCGCCCGCAATAGACCGGACACTGGTGCCCCCCAGGTGATGGACGTGGAGGCAGAGGGCCCCCCAGAAGTCACCATCTGCCAGGGCGCAGCAAGTGCGGGCAGGCTGCGTGGAGGGACAGCAGTGGTCCTCGGGGGGCCCAGGTCCTTGCAGACACCCAAGCGGTTCCCCCCAGGCTACACCCAGAGATGCCCGGAGCGTGAGGGGTGGTCTGGGGAGCCTCCTGGCCCTGGCCCCCTCCGCGTCCAGCCACACTGGCGTGGGGCGCTGGGCCTCCCTGCACGCCCGCTGCTGGCAACAGACAGGGACATCCTAAGTGAAGGACATCGGCCTCCCGCCTGCTGGTGAGCCCCCCATCCCCCTCCGTGTCTCCTCACTCTCTGTCTCTATTACTAATTAGTCGATCGATCCGTTCGGCCAGCATCTATTATCTACCTGTCTGCCTATCTCTTCCTATTGATCAGTCTACCTGTTCATCCATCTACTATCGATCCATGTACCTCATTGTCCAATTGTGTATTATCGACCTATTATCCAACACGTATTTATTATCTAGCCACTGACCCACCCGTCTCTGACGGTGGCAGGAAAGGTGAACCGTGGTGAGTGTTGCTGAGGGTGGGCGCAGAGCACCCCGGGCAGGCGGGCAGGCAGGCAGACAGACTCGCAGCCGCGCTGGGGGCAGGGTGGGCGGAAGCAGCCCTGCCCCACAGTGTGGCGGGGTCTAATCTCGGCCTCGGCCCGGGGCAGGAAGAGGCGCCTGACCTTCCCGTCCGGCCTCTGTCCCCTGCCGCCCGAGTGAACTATCGCTCAGTCCTGCTTGTTTTCCCTCAGGGGGCCTCGGCGGACATGGCGGGTGCTCAGAGGGCCCTAAGAGAGGCAACGTGAACCCTCGAATTTCTGTCGTGGCTGTTGGTGGGACCATGTCCCGTTCCGGGCGTGGGCAAGGAGGGGCCCTGGGCAGCGCGTCGGGGGCCGGGCTGGGGGCTGGGAAGGAGGCGTTTGCGGCTGCTGGCTGCGTTCCCCCGGCTTGTTTGACTTTGCTCCGTGCGGAGACGCACCTCTCCCTCCGGGTGCCGTGTCTGCCCCTCCAGGTGTGATAAAGACCATTTGTACCCAAAGGTACATAAACAGCCCGGCCTGCCACCCGAGCCCCGGCCCCAGCCAATGGCCGCAGAGGAGTGTCCGTGTGCCAACACGCCAGGGAGCCTGTTGGGCAAATTGTTTTTATGCGGATCGTTATACTTTGAACTTTGGTCCGGACAGAGCGAGAATGTTCTCTTACCCCGCGAGCATTTCAGCTCTGCTTGGTCATGGGTCTGAGGAGTTTGGGGACAAACACGCCACTCGAGAGAATCCTTCAAACCATCTGGAATGTTCTGGAGAAGGAAAGGGGCAGGGGGCCAGCCCGGGAGCGTGTTGTGTGGAAGTGTGCCGGGCGTTCCAGAACTCTCCAGAGCTGGTCTGTCTGCCGGAGGCCGCCTTCTGCCCAGAGGAGCTGCCTTCACTGAGCCCACTCCAAAGGGGGTCGGGAAACTGGAGACGTGTTCTCCGTCACGAAGGGGCGTCGCCCTGGGGGCTGAGGGAGCCAAGGCCAACGGTCTGCGTCTTCCTTCAACGGCAACTTTTTACTTGGTAGCGGCCAAAGAGAGAAAGAAAAAAAAAATTGTTTTTCTATCATTGCAAAAATGTCTTGGGATCAAAATTCTAAAACAAATTCCAAGAGGTTATGGACCTTGTTCCGTTTGCCTCGACATTCCAAACTTCCCAGCTGCCTCCGTCAGACCCAAAGTCACGTGGTAATAAACGGACCCTGCCGGGCCACTGTGCGCCCTGCCTCTGGTGGCTCACCCTCTCTGGGCTCCTGTTTTCTCCTCTATAACTGGAGCCTAATAACCAGACTGCTCTCCTGCTGCCCAGGGGGAAATCTTTAAAAGACAGTCGATGTCCAGGGCTTCAAACGCGCACAGAGCGTGGGGTGCGGCTGGAGTCGGGAGACGCCCTTAACCGCAAGCCCCCCTCTT